CTGGTCAAAAGCAGGATTATAATTATCATTGATGATGATGAGGAGGAGGACAGCAATGATGCCAGGGTTGTCTACGGCATATGAAGCACTGTCACAGGTTCGTCCCATCTAACCCTCAGAACACCTCCATGGGTAGTTACTATTATTCCCATTTTTCAGATGCTGAAACTGAGGACTCGACATTTATGTAACTTGCTCCCAGTCACAGAGCTGACAAGAGCTCTACCACTCGAATCCATATCTCTTTGATACCAAAAGTCATATCATATCCTTTTCACATTTGCATAAATCTGTGTTTCTACCCAGAGGCCTGACAGATGGCTGCATGACCCTGGGTTACCCAGCCTGTCTTTTTATAAACATTCCCCCTTTGGGGAATTTCTCCTGCCCCTTTCCCTTTGGGATGCTTAATATGGCTTCATGCCCTTTGATCTCCTATCAAATGAGGAACAAACCTAGGTTAGGTCAGTTTTGCTTATCAACAGGTGGCAGGTGAATTCAGAATGTTCTTCAGTGGTGAGACGTTTCTCTTGGGACATTACTGATCACAGACATTTGCGTTTTATACTTTTTGTCTCTGGTTATGGAATGAAAGGTTAGACCTCTTGAAGGAAGTCCAACATCATTGACTAGTAGGTGGGGGAGGTTTAGGGAAAAGAGTAGAGGCCGGTGTTCCAGAAATCACAGGGTGTGATCAGTTAGGACTGAGTTGGCTGCCTATAGCAGAAAGCCCCAAACAACAATGCCTTAAACTCATAGGGGCTAGTTTTCTCTTACACACACACAGACACACACACCACACACAATCTGTAAGAAGGCAAGCCAGCATTGGCATGGTGGTCCCATGAACATCCTAGACCAGCCTTCTCTCATCTTTCCGCTCCACCATCCTTAGCAAGAGGCACCATCTTCAAGGTTGCTTCATGGTCTAGGATGGCTGCTGGAGCGCTGGCCATCATGTCCACATTCCAGTTAACAGAAAGAAGGAGGTGAGGGGAGTTGCACCTAAAACATTCTGCAAGGGAGGTTGAGAAATTGACTCATCAACTGGGTACAATGCCCAGTGTCTCACTCAGTGGATATTGAGTAGATGCCTAGAAGTCCCTGCCACATGTGACTTACTCGTAAGAGTAGCCCATAAGGCCCGGATTGGTCCTGTTAGGGTGACTATCACTAGGGTGGTGAAAGGGTGTTATGAAAGGGCCTCATCTCACTTCGCCCCCACTAGCCTGGTGGCTCTGCAAAGCTGCAGACCTCATCCCGCAGGCATTTCCGTGGGGTCACTGCACTTGTTCAGAGCAGCATATGTCTTGTGGTGGCACTGAACTTTCATTCCAAGAACTCACATCTCCTCTGCCTGCATGGAGGCCTGCCCAGTGGGTTCCTTCTCCCCAGTATTTTCCTCTTGGCTTTCTAGCCACATTCCCTCTCACCTTCCACGTCTCTGCTCCTGCACTCCCGGTGGCCAGGGATTCCAGCCTCCCTTGTTATGTCCTCTCCTCCTTTGTCTATTCACTTGAAAGCTGTGCTTCACCTTCCTACCCAGGCCCTGCTGAGGCCCACAGCCATGAGTTTCCAATTCCTCCAGTCACTCTGGAGTCCAGGATCCTGGAGATGGGGAGCAGGAAGGCACTGCACATGGGACCCCCAGTGAGGAGGGAAGTGTAAGAGAAACCAGGCTGTGGAGAGCGGTGTGCCTGGTGTTTGCTTCAGGGTATGACATAGGTCAAACTGTCCACTGTGAGTTGATATTAATCGTAGATGCTGGAGAACCAAACCTGACCGAGTCTCATTTGGAGACTGCATTGCCGTTGGGGCCGGGCCCTGCTTCCATCCTGTGGATTCCGTGGAATCTTGGTGTTCCCCTTGTAAGAGGAAACTGAGTCAGATGTGGCTGCTGCCTGCCTCCCCCAGGCTCAAGTACCCACATGACCCTCAGCATGGACCTGTCTATCAGTGTGTTGTTAATACCAGTGCTGCTTGATGGCAGATGTGGTGATTTTCATGTGTCCTGGATCTTCACAGTCAGCTGTTCTATGCAGAATCCCTATCTATTTGCAACTTTGAAAAAGAGTGGAAGCTTTGATGGGCAAACAAGGCTTGATGGCGAAGGGTCTTGGACAATTGGGCCAGGAGTTTGACCTTCACTATGACTGTATTCTGCCCACCCACCCCATTCGTTGCCTATATGGGGTGACTCCTCTTGATTTCTTACTTGCTAGGGCCTGATGCAGGAACAACCCAGGCAAGGTTTTTGTTTAGCCCTTGCACCAATCTAGATCCAAGAAGCTAAACTCAGAAAGTTGTTTCCCTCTGCTAAGGTGACCAAGGAAGGCTGTGATCTAAGATCAAAGGGAGAGAGGAGTCTGTTGATCCGAGGCTCCCCAGTGCAGCTTCCCTGTTTGGGGAGTGGAGGGTGGAATTAAGGGTGATCCCGAAACTGATATTGCACACCCCACTTAGCATTCATGGCCTCCGTGGCATCACCAGGTAACACTGTGAAAACCAAGCCCATGGAGGATGCTGGGAGATATTTCCAGCCTCACAGCATAGACCAGCAAATGGGGACTCAGCAGTACAATTTCTAAGCCAGGTTCAAAGGAGTGAGTCTGTACAAAAGTTTGTAGGATCAAAGCCTCCTCCACACTGCACAGTCTTTTCTAATTTGTTCCCAGCTCAGGCCCCAGCCCACCAGTTAATTACCCAAAACTCCACACCCCATGCTAAGAAGGGGGATCCATTACCAAGAGAGGCCAAGGAAGGGGGTTGACGGTGTTTTTGGGGTGATGGCGGGAGTTTATCTGATGATCGTAGGCTCTGCTTGGAAACTGTTGGTAACCTTGGGTATTCAGCACCAAACAACTCGGAAAATAACTCTATCTGGGTCAGGGTGTGCCAAGAGGTACAGGCAACCTCCTAAATATCCCCCGTTAAAGCAACAGGATACATAGAGCAACAGTTGCGAGGAGTCCACCTAGCTCATACGAAGCAGCTTCTTGTTCTAACTGTAGCACAATCCGAAAATGAGACGAAGGCACATGAATGTAGATGTGAGAGATTGCTCCTCATCCTAGAGATGAGAGGAAATGAAGGAGCTTCAAGGCTGTCCACAGTACCAGGCACTCCAGAACAAAAGTTCAAACAGCGTGATGATGAACCGTTGGGTATGGCGACAGGGAAAACGTTGCCAAGCTTCAGGAGAGCAAGGTCAGGAGGGCAGAGGCATTGGAAGCCAGTGGCTGGGCGTTTTGGAACAAAGCTGATGTGGAGGGAGAGCGACAGCACAGTCCACTGCTTCCTGGAGTGCGACCGCCTGGATGACCTGGGTCAACAGAGGCAGAAGTGGCGGTGACGAAATGGGGTCAGCGGGGTGTAGGTTACCTGTTAAAAGCATCAAATAGTAAAAGAAAAGAGAAATAAGGTCAAGAGAAGATTTTGCGTGTCTGTGTGTTTTACGGTCAGGGAGATGGGGGATATCTGTATGTCTCCACTACGGTAACTACGGTAACTACGGTATTATGTTGGGGTGGTTGGAGAGTGGGTGAGGATCTCTTCTCTGTAATGCATGTGAGTGGCCACCAGATGGTGCCCCAAGTCCTGATGTAATAGCCACTGTGTCAAGGACTTTCTTGGCAAAACGGACCAAATGTTAACTTCTAAATATGTGATGATTACATAAAGTAAACATCACACAAAAGGCCCAAAATCAAAGCAATTAGGTCCCAAGTTAGAAGAGCATTATATGGTAATTTTCTGCCTTTCACAGTCTTTCTATTTATAGCTGTCTTTAACCCCCCCGGTCCAGACTTGCACTTCTGAGGGGACGTCCTGCAGGTTCCCAGCTCAGTCCCAGTTCAGGGTGGCCCTGCTCTGGATGGGGACTACCCCGGGCCTATTTCCAAGCTATGACAAGAAGGCGGCCCACCCCGCTGGGTCTCCAGCCCCTGCTCTGTGAGGGAGTGAACTTGTGCTTCCTGTTTCACCTCCTCATCGTGGTGGAAACAGAACTGAACGCACGCTGTAAAGCAACTACTGTGCAGAACGGAGTCAAGTTGCAGAAACAAAAGGAAAACCTTTGGTGTGTTTCTTCTCAGCATTTGGAAGTCAGAGGAGACAGAGAGGGAGAAGGGCCGGGGAGAAAGGGGATGTGGGCTGGGAGCAGAGCCTAGGATGCAGCTGCCTCAGAGCAGAGAGGCCAGACCGCGATCCTTTGAGAGGACTCGGGACTCCAGGCAGAGATGGGGAGGCGCAGGTGTGGAAACTCGAAACCCGCTGCCTGGCTGGAGCTGAGGCAAAGTGGATGACCTGACAGGTGCCTGGCATAGCGGGAAGGCACCCAGGGCCGGGAGAGGGGACAGCGGCAGGGACGCAGGAGTAGCCCGGCGGCACGGGACGCGGCAGCCTCCTGGGCCCAGGTTCTGCCTCCCACGATGCTCTCCCACCCAGTCTCTGAAGAGAGAAACTTTAAATTGGTCAAGCTGTGATGGGGCCTGGGAATCACAGACTGTTAAAGGCCTCAGAGACCACTGATCTAATCTGCCCCTTCCCGGGAGAAACTGAGGCTCAGGGATTAAGTGACCTGGCCAAGAGCTGGAAGAGAACTCAGGCTTCTGACCCGGGCTCTCACCCTGGATCCCTTTCTCTTTAGCTAGGCTGCCTCCAAGCCTGGGGCCGGGACCTGAGCCACGAGGGGAGTGGCAAGCTCTAAGGAAGGGAGGGCAGTCGGAGAGGCCACGGGAATCCAGAGGACAGCGAGGCTCAGGACCGAGTTTTGGTGTTGGAGGCGAAGGTGGGGATATGACTCGTGAGGTGTAAAAGGATGCATAGAAGCAAACTGCTAGGCACGCTGGAGGAGCCACTGAACAGCCCCTCTCCAGGTTCTCCTGAGCTCCATCCGAGAACTTCCAACCTGATTGTCCGGTGCTTGGCTCGCCACGAAGCACAAGGACGGTGCTGAAGGAACTGACCAGCCCATGAACTCTTTTCTTGTTGGCCCACAGGGATCTCCTACCAGAGGCTGGTGAGGGCTGAGCAGGGCCTGCCCATCAGGAGTCACCGCAGCTCCACCGTGTGAGTGCTCTTGGGGGACGGAGAAACAGGGGGGAGGGAGTTTGGGACCCCTGCACTGCTCCACCTTCACCCTCCTCCCCCACTCAAACATCCAATACCCTGCCCCCCGCCCCCCCACCATCCACCCCAGCCAGCAACAAACAGGCTTCCAGGGATCTGGGAACTCCTGGCACTGCTGGTGATATTTTGTGTCCAGGTTTGTTTTTCTAGGCTGAGGGTCTTTCACCAGATTCTTAAAGAGGGCCGCATCAATTGTGCCAGGTGTTAGGACACAGTTCCCCCACTTTATCTATTCTTTTCAGATGAGGAACTGGAGGTCAGAGAGGCCAAGCAACTTCCCCAATGTCACACAGCGAGCAAGGGTCTGAGCCACAATTTAACTCTCAGGCTTATTCAGAAGCCCATGGTATTTCCACAGTCTCTTTCTGCCTGTTACTAAAACAGCGTTTCCAAACTTTTTTGACCAGGACCTACAATAAAAATCCATTTTATACAACATCCTGGTACACACACACACACACACACACACACACACCTGAAACGAAATGTATCCCTGCTACGTAGGATGAGCGCTATCTATTCTATTTCATTTAAGAAACAAATTCAGCTCCCCCAGATGACTTCATTACTCACTCCTGGGTCCTCACCTGCAGTTTGAAAAGCACTAGAGAGGGGATGCCCATTCGGAGGACCCTCTGCAGGCCTCGAAGAGTTGGGTGCTGCCTTGCCTTGACATGTTGGGAGCCCAGGGACCCCGGGCTTCACCAGCTCAGAAATTATAGGCCCCCCGGCCCTCCCCATTCCCAGCCTCAGGGGTTCACTTCCCACTCACTCCCCTGAGCAACACTTCTTGATTTCCCTCTAGGTAAAAACAAGCACAAACAAAATGATAGATGTCGAGAGAGGGAAAGGATGCTAACATGTTGTAGTTTAGTAAGTAAATAAGATGCCTCTGGGGGAGCTGGGGCAGGTGGGCTGATGAAGAATCATCAACGCCTCTTAGACCCTTTCTCGACCTCCAGGCGCCATTCTAAGTGCAGTTACGTGTGCTGACTCATTTAATCCTCACGTTAACCCTGTGAGAAGGGGAGTTTTCAAATCAGGGAAGTGAGGCACTGAGAGATTTGTAGAAAGAGCTTACAGTTGGGAGATGGTCTCACTTTCATTATCTATAAATTGAGAATGATGATAAATTACGCGGCAGAGAAATTATGTGAGCTGGTGAGGGCAGGGGCTCGGCTGGGCTCGTTATAAGGTTATAAGGCGCTGCTTATGCAAGCCCACCTCCTTTTTCTTACAGATAGAGAAATCAAAGTTAGTTTCTTCCCAAATGATGGGGACTTTAACAGAGACTAGTCCTGTCTCTGCCCTGTCCCCGGGCACCGATGTCCGTAGAGTCTGGAGGGAATGCTGCCTGCATGGGGCTCCTCTGCACTGGGTTTAAATGCAGAGTGTGGAATTGAGAGAGCAAGAGCCATCACACGCAGCTCATACGAAAGCATTTATGGATACAAAGCCACGATGGCTCGAGTTTGCTTCGAGGTCATGCAGTGATGCAGGGGTTGGCAGGGGGGAAGTGAGAACAGCCGTGCGTTGTTAACTGTAAACAAAGTGATCAGTGCCTCAGAGCCCACGATTCTTTTAATTTGGGGTATGTTTGAAAGTTTCCACAATAAAGAAATGTAAACACTGGCACCAAGAGTGAATCTGGGTGTCCATCGGGAAGGGAGGTAGCAGTGGCCAGGCACACACTCCCCTCCCAGCCCACGAAAGCCTGTATCACGACTTTGGGCCAATTAGAAAAGGTGTCCCTCACGAGCGCAGGAAGAAGATGCACTCTGACTTGGCACCCTCTCCTCTGGGCAGAGGCAGCCCCATGCCACGAGGAATTGCATGTCCCTTTTGCCCCAGAGCACACTGCACAGCACCACGTGGCTGCCCAGCTCCCCCCGAAAACTGGTCACTTGGCTTCAAGTCACCTTGTTGAAAATAGGATCCTCATTTGAGTAATCTTGCATCCACTCAGCTGTCTCATAGGAAAAAAATGTTTTTGTAAAAATTAAGTAAATTTAGTTTTAAAGAATTAAGTTCCATTTTGAAAAGATCTTTGAAAACAACAGCTGAAAAATGCTCAGCAGTGAACCCCACGCTTTCCCTGGGAACCTGGGTCCTGGAGCTGCTGCTTCTGTCCTGGCCTCCTGTGGTCACCTCCTCAAGCTCTGCCTGGGCTTGAGGAGGCCCTGGCCTCAGCAGAGCTGAGCACCAGCAGGCACGAGGTGGGTGGCTGTGCCGTGGCATGCTGCCCACCCCCAGGTACCATAGCCGGTCCCCTGTGTCCCCAGCACCGTGCTGTTGCTGAACCCAGTAGAAGTGCAGGCCGAGTTCCTCGCTGTAGCCAATAAGCTGAGCACCCCCGGACACTCGCCTCACAGTGCCTACACCACCCTGCTCCTGCATGCCTTCCAGGCCACCTTTGGGGCCCACTGTGACGTCCCGGGCCTGCACTGCAGGCTGCAGGTATGTACCTGGGGCCTGGGGCTCTGGTGGAGTACCTCTTCGAAGAGGTAGCGCCCTCTCCCTGCTTCATCTCAGCCACGGTCTCCAGGGTACACTAGTCTCCGGCGCCCCAGGTGACACGGCAGGGTGGTGGCTGGAGGGCGGGCCTCGTAGAGGGGGTTTCTGGTGCGCTGGATCCTGACCAGTGGGGTGGCAGCCTGGGCAGTGGGGCCGGGTGCTGATAACTGGTGCCTCAGAAGATGGCATGTGCCATAAGAACGAGAATGAGCTTCGGGTTGAAGACCTGGCCTCTAGGCCTGGCTCTGTCACAGGTCAGCTGTGTCACCCCACACAGCTTCTTCCCCTCTCTGGGGCACAGTGAGGAGCGCTGAAGTCCCTCCTGACTGCACTGCCCCATGGCTCTGGTCCTTTCTATCCTGACCATTTCCTGAGAATGGAAGGGCAGGGGGAGGCCTGGCTGCCTGGCCAGCTGTGGGTACGAGATGGGTGATGAGGCTGGGAGGGGACAGATCCCTGCCTGCCTCAGTAAGAAGCTAGGAACTGGAACAGGTGGACAGCTAGCTCACGGTCCAGGAGCAATGCCCATCTCCTCCTGGGGTTTCAGGCCAAGACCCTGGCAGAGCTTGAGGACATCTTCACGGAGACCGCAGAGGCACAGGAGCTGGCATCTGGCATCGGAGATGCTGCAGAGGCCCGGCGGTGGCTCAGGACCAAGCTGCAGGCGGTGGGAGAAAAAGCTGGCTTCCCTGGGGTGTTAGGTGAGGCTCTTGGGAGAGTGAGGTTCTCCCACATTCCCCATGGCCTATTCTAGGTCCCAAGGTGCACGGTCCAGGTGGGCCTGGCGGCTCTGCTCCACACAGTCACTCAGGGACTCAGCTTTTTCAGTTATCTCACTGCTCCGTCATCCCCTGGGGTGTCTGTCATTCCTATCTATAGGGGCAGGGGTGGGGGTGCCATCATGATGGCAGCTTGCGGGAAGAGGAAAAGAGAGTGCTTATGAGGGCAAAGCCTGGGCTTTTCTGTTGAAAGTGATGCAGAAGCTGGGCACGTCACTTCCGCACATGTTCCTTTGAGCCCGCCTTGGTCACGTGGCCACATCTTGCCCCAAAGGATCCTGGGAAACATCCTCTCTGCAACTCTATTACCGTAGAAGGGAGCACAGATTTTGAGGAGCCGTTCTCATTCCCTGTTACAATATTCCTCATAAAAACCTTCTGGACTAGTACCATTATTCTCCCATGGGCACATTGTAAAATGAGGCTCAGAGGTTGTGGCTTGGCCACGTTCGCACAGCTCATAAAGGGCATGCCTTGAAAGAAGGGCCCTCTGGCTGGGAGCCCGCACCCTGGCTCTAACTCAGCCTCAGCCTATCCAGCTATGCATCCTTGTGCCGATGCTGTCCCATCTCTGGTCTCTTCTCCAAGGCAAGGGGACTGGACTGGCCAATCTCCAAGGCCTCTTCCCAGCCCTCTTCTCCTATCCTCCCTGTTCTTACAGACACTGCAAAACCAGGGAAGCTCCATACCATCCCCATCCCTGTTGCCCGGTGTTACACCTACAGCTGGAACCAGGACAGCTTTGGTAAGGAGCCGGGGCCCTGGTGACACCCATGCCCCACACTGCCTGAGCTGTCTTTCTGGTCCTGGGTCCGTGCAGCTCCCACCCCGTCCCCAAAGCTCTCCCATCTGAGCAGGCTCCAAGCAGAGCAAGGGGCAGTGCTAGGAGTCCTGGGCTGGCCCTGAGTCCTTCTGCTCCAAAGGGAATATGGAAGGGGATTTGGGGGCCCAGACACCCAGACAGTGCTGGCCTTGCTTCCCTGCAGACATCCTGCAGGAAATCCTGCTCAAGGAACAGGAGCTGCTCCAGCCAGGGATCCTGGCAGATGATGAAGAGGAGGAGGAGGAAGAGGAGGAGGAGGAGGAGGAGGACTTGGAAACGGATGGGCATTGTGCCGAGAGAGACTCCCTGCTCTCCACCAGCTCTTTGGCGTCCCACGACTCCACCCTGTCCCTCACATCCTCCCAGGCCTCAGGGCCGGCCCTCTCGCGCCATCTGCTGACTTCCTTTGTCTCAGGCCTCTCGGATGGCATGGACAGCGGCTACGTGGAGGACAGCGAGGAGAGCTCCTCCGAGTGGCCCAGGAGGCGCGGCAGCCAGGAACGCCGGGGCCACCGCAGGCCTGGGCAGAAGTTCATCAGGATCTATAAACTCTTCAAGAGCACTAGCCAGCTGGTACTGCGGAGGGACTCTCGGAGCCTGGAGGGCAACTCGGACACGGCCCTGCCCCTGCGGCGGGCAGGGAGCCTCTGCAGCCCCCTGGACGATCCAGTATCGCCCCCTTCCCGGGCCCAGCGCTCCCGCTCCCTGCCCCAGCCCAAACTCAGTACCCAGCTGCCCAGCTGGCTTCTAGCCCCCGCTTCACGTCACCAGCGCCGCCGCCCCTTCCTGAGTGGAGATGAGGATCCCAAGGCCTCCACGCTACGTGTTGTGGTCTTTGGCTCCGATCGGATTTCAGGGAAGGTGGCCCGGGCATACAGCAACCTTCGGTAAGAGCCATAACGGGAGGCATCGCTCTGCCCTGGGTAACAGCATTGTTCTGCTGGTGGAATCTGGGGCCTGAGGCTTAGGCCCCAGAGGAACCAAAAGTTCCCTTATTTATTAATTTATTTATTTATTTATTTATTTATTTATTATGATTACTATTATTTTGAGACAGAGTCTTGCTCTGTTGCCCGGGCTGGAGTGCAGTGGCATGATCTCAGCTCACTGTAGCCTGTGGCTCTCCGGTTCAAGCGATTCTCGTGCCTCAGCCTCCCAAGAAGCTGGGATTACAGGTGCACGCCACCACACCTGACTAATTTTTTTTTTCTTAGTAGAGATGGGGTTTCCCCATGTTGGCCAGGCTGGTCTTGAACTCCTGGCCTCAGGTGATCCACCCACCTCGGCCTCCCAAAGTGCTGGGATTACAGGCGTGAGCCACCATGCCCGGCCCCCTTCTCACTATCTTCTTCTTGCCAGGCGGCTGGAGAACAATCGCCCACTCCTCACACGGTTCTTCAAACTTCAGTTCTTCTATGTGCCTGTGAAGCGAAGTCACGGGACCAGCCCTGGTGCCTGTCCACCCCCTCGGAGCCAGACGCCCTCACCCCCGACAGACTCCCCTAGGCACGCCAGCCCTGGAGTACGTCCCCAGCCTGGACCAGTGGGGTGGTAATGTAGAGATCTGGCTACCTGAAGGAAGCCGATTGGAAGTCATGAAAAGCAATCCCCTGTGTTGACAGGGCACCTGCCCCTGCGTGGCCCTCACTCCCTGCACTTGGACGTGACATTTTGCCATATGACAAAGACTGAAAGTTGTCATACTTCCCCAAGGGCAGGGAGAAGCTCAGCTTGGGGCTGCAGGTGCCATCCAAGGCCCTGGAGCTAGGATGGGCAGGCCTCCTGGGGAGCTGGGAATGACTCTTGTCCCTCGCCCTAGGAGCTGGGCACCACCCCATGGGAGGAGAGCACCAATGACATCTCCCACTACCTCGGCATGCTGGACCCCTGGTATGAGCGCAATGTGCTAGGCCTCATGCACCTGCCCCCTGAAGTTCTGTGCCAGGTAAGTGGCCCCTGGGGTTGTGGAACAGGGCCCACTGGCCGCAGTCACCCAGCCTCACTTAGAAGGCCCTGGATTTGGGGAATCCAGCTTGAGGCCCCCATGGAGGACCTGGGCCCTCTTGGAAAAGATCTGGGAGTGTGAGTGAGAAGCAGGACTGAGCCTGAACTCAGGACACTGAGGGCAAGAGCTGGGGTCACTGCAGTGATGGAGGAGGGGCCTCAGAAGGGTCCAGGGGACCTCAGATTTCAGCCCCCTTCCTCAACTCCCGCCCTTGTCTGGCTAAGCCAGAAGCCTCCCCCGAGGCCGGTGGGTCAGGTGAGGGGCGTGGAGGCTGGGCACCGGCCCTCCCCTGCTTCCTGCTTCCACCTCACCAGCTCCCCCTGGCTGGCTGCCTCTATGTCTCTCTTCTATCTTCCTCCCTAATTCTTGCTCCTTCTTGCCATCTATCCACCCACCCATATGAATTGGCTGCCCCTTCCCTCTGGTCACAGCAGTCCCTGAAGGCTGAAGCCCAGGCCCTGGAGGGCTCCCCCACCCAGCTGCCCATCCTGGCCGACATGCTACTCTACTACTGCCGCTTTGCCGCCAGACCGGTGCTGCTGCAAGTCTATCAGACGGAGGTAAGGCCTCCCTGACCCGCACCGTCTCTCCCCCACCTGCCGGGCCTGCAAGTCCCCAGCCCTGCCTTGGGACAGCCAGCAGGTCTACACTGGAGGAGCCGAATGGGCCCCTCCAGGGGGTTCACACTGATGTACATGCTCCTGCACTCTCCAGCTGACCTTCATCACTGGGGAGAAGACGACAGAGATCTTCATCCACTCCTTGGAGCTGGGTCACTCCGCTGCCACACGTGCCATCAAGGCTTCGGGTGGGTACTGCCTGAGCAGAGACAGGCGGGGAGGCGGGGCCTGGGACCCGAAATGCGGAGCTCTGGGGAGGTGGGGTTACCTGGGAGGTGGGGCCATGGGAAGGCGGGGTTGCACCGGAGGTGGGGCCATGGGAGGGCGGGGTTACCTAGGAGGCGGGGCCACGGGGAGGCGGGGTTGCCCGGTAGGTGGTTCCCTGGGGAGGCAGGGTTACTGGGAGGCAGGGCCATGGGGGGGCGGGGTTATCCAGGAGGCGAGGCCATGGGGAGGCGGGGTTACTCAGGAGGTGGGGCCCTGGGGAGGCGGGACCCTGGGAAGGTGTGATCACAGCGGAGATGAGGCCCTGGAGTGATGGGGTCACTGAGGAGGTGGAGGCGCCCGAAAGGTGGAGCCAGAGAGAGATGCAGGGCCTTGGTGAGACAGATCCCTAGGGAGTCACAGTCAGTGTGGTAGGGGATGGGGAGGTAAGTCCCAGGGAGGCAAGGCCACTGCGTTCGTGAGGAGCCTGGGAAGCCAGAGGGAGTGAAGGGTCTGTCGGTGTGTGGCACAGGTCCTGGCAGCAAGCGGCTGGGCATCGATGACGACCGGGAGGCTGTTCCTCTAACACTACAGATTATTTACAGCAAGGTAAGACCCGGGCTGGGGCTCCTTCCCCTCCAGGATCTGCTACTGATCCTTCCTCCGCCAGAGCCTGGGCCCAGAGCTGGACTTGTGTGTTCCTGGGCCCCAGTCTTTATGCTAGAAGGCCACAGCAGGCTCCCCTGGATGCTCAGAGAAGCAGAGGGAGTGGATATCTCTGTGCTTCTTGGCCTCCAAAGCCTCTCTCCCACCATGTGCTCTGCCCTCACCTGAATGCGCTCAGCAGCAGCCCAGGGGTAGGGGTCTGCTGGGCCTGGCTACAGGGCTGGGGCTGAGAGGGGGCAAGGGAAGCCTTCCAGAGGCACTTGAGGGAGAAGCCAGGGTCTCGGGGGGGCCAATGTGCCTGGCAGGCTGCATGCAAGGTGGGATTGGCATGAGAAAGGAGTGAGGAGAGTTGTAGGGAGGTGGAGGGCTGTCGGTGACAGGCCAGAAGACGTGAGTTCTCTGAGCAGATCACATCCCAGGTTCTAGGCTGAGGGAAGCTTGGCCTCACAGGTGGGCTCCTTCCTTCTTTCCTGCCTCCTTCCCTTTCTTCCTTCGGCCATTCCAAAGATATCCTCTTAGCACCTGCCCATGCCACCTCTGTGCTGGGCAGAGGAAAAGAGGGGTTGAGCAGGGAAGCCTAGGCCTCACTTTAGCTTGTCCAGAGGAGGGAGACAGACAAGAAATGAGGAAACAAAGAAATAGCCAAGATAATTCCAGACAGTGGCAAGTGATGACAAGGCAATAAAACAGCAGATGGACGGTGGCGTTGGGGCTGCGGTGCATTTGGCAGTGAAGAAGGTGGGCAGGAGGCACCAACACTCACTGCAGCCACATGCCAGGTGCTTGCTAGACATCTTCCATGGCCCAGGCACTGTTCTAGGCCCTGGAGCCTTCCTAAGAGTGAACAAAGGACAGACATGGTCCCAGGAGACATGCTGACCCCCTGGAGTGGGCGGTAGGCATTGGTTAGATGATGCACACGATGTAAAATTACAACTGTGACACACAGATGGAGGAGAGGGACACGGGATGTTCCTAAATGGTGAACTGAACCCAGTCAGGAGAGTTAGTAGTGAAGGCTTCCTTGAGAAGGGACCTGAGTTAATATTGGAGTGAAAACCAGGAGTTAATTAGGCCGAGAAGAGAGGTGAGTGCTCTCGCGGCAACAGGAACTGCATGTGCAAAGGCCCTGTGGTGGGAGGCAATGTGAACACCTCAAAGCACTCTGAAAGAAGATACCTGGGCTGGAGCAGAGACAGCCAGCGGGAACATGATGCCGAGGTGAGGCTAAAGAAATGGGGGAACCAGCATACCAAAAGCCTTGATTGCAGTGAAAGGAGTTTTTTCTTTTTCTTTTTCTTTTTTCTTTCTTTCTTTTTTTTCTTTTTTTTCTTTTCTTTTTTTTTTTTTTTTTTTTTTTTTTTTGACACAGTCTCACCCTGTTTATCAGGCTGGAGCGCAATGGTGCAATCTCAGCTCACTGCAACCTTCACCTCCCTGGTTCAAGCAATTCTCCTGCCTCAGCCTCCCGAGTAGCTGGGATTACAGGTGCCCGCCACCACACCCAGCTAATTTTTTGTATCTTTAGTAGAGACGGGGGTTTCACCATGTTGGCCAGGCTGGTGTCGAACTCCTGACCTCGTGATCCACCTGCCTTGGCCTCCCAAAGTGTTGGGATTACAGGCATGAGCCACCACCACGCCTGACCCAATGAAAGGAATTTTATCCTGGTCCTAAGAGCAGTGGATATCCATTAAGGAGGCTTACGTTTGTGACATGATCAGATCTGAGGCTTGGAAGCTCCCTCTGGCCGCTCTGTGGAGGAGAGGCTGGGAGGGTCCGCAGGTGATGCGGGAAGGCCAGTTAGGAGGCTGCTGCCATGGTCCAGAAGAGAAATGAGGGCAGCAGCCTGCACTAGGGTGGTGGTGGCGGAGCTGGGAAGGAATAGGAGACAGATGGGAGTGATGTAATCAGCAGGGCTCATGGGTGGGTTAGGAAAGGAGAGGCCAGACTCCTGGAATCGCGCCTCTGTGACTGGCAGCACCGTCTTCTCAGGTGAGGACCACGGGAAGAGACCCGGGTCCAGTTGGGGAAGATCCTGAGTTTGGATCGGGTCATATTATTGAGGTGGAGAGGCCTTGAGAGGTATAAGGAGACAGTGAGAATAGGCGGCTGGCTGAACGGGCCTGACTTTGTGGTGAATACGAAGATGGGTGGACAGCTGCTGTGGAAAAAGGTCACGGAGGAGACTCCTAAAGGGGGGAAGCAGGGAATACAAAGAGCAGAGGACCAAGGGGAGAGGCTTGAACCCTTCTTCATGATGAATGGTGGGCAGAGGGCGGCGATCCAGCAAAGCAGAGAGGCACCAGCCAGAGAGGCGCTAGGGAAAGCAGGAAGGTTCCATCACGAAAGCCCAGGAGAGGCTTTCAAGGAGGGGAGAGCCGAGAACTGTAAGGTCAAGTACGCTGAGGACCAACAAGGAGATCCCTGATGACAGAGACATTCACACAAAGACTTGAAGAGGGGGTTCGGGTCTGGCTGTGCCTGAAACAGCATGTCTGTGGGCCCGTCCCTTCCTCACTCTGGGCCCAGCAGGACCACCTCTGCAGGTGCTCTCAGCTCTTGTACCTTTCAACCTGGTCACAGAGGCTAGACCAAACCAGTGATGTGAGCTCCTACCTAGAGTCATCCAGGTCCATCCAGGGTGGCACAGGGGCCCTGGTGAATAAGAGAGAGCTTTCTGGGGACATGCTGACTAGAAGCAACCCCCTGTCACTGATGGGCCTTCAAAGAGAAGGTGGCAGGCGTGGGAGCCTCTGGACTCAGAGGGTCTGGCTATGCTGCATTTCCAGGGGGCTATCAGTGGACGAAGTCGCTGGAGCAACCTGGAGAAGGTCTGTACCTCCGTGAACCTTAACAAGGCCTGCCGGAAGCAGGAGGAGCTGGGTGAGTGGGGTGGGCAGGGTGGGGTCACAGTAGGGAGGTGCTCTGAGCCTGGCCTGAGTGCCCTTGCCCTTCAGATTCCAGCATGGAGGCCCTGACGCTAAACCTGACAGAAGTAGTGAAAAGGCAGAACTCCAAATCCAAGAAGGGCTTTAACCAGGTACCAGCTTCCCTGTCCTTCCAGCCATACCCTCAAGAGACTTATTGGAGCATGCATGTGCGTATGTGTGTACGTGTGTACGTCTGTGTGCACATGTATGTGTGTGCATGTGTGCACATGTACGTCCATGTGTGTACAGACGTGTGTGTGTGTGAGAGAGAGGAGAGGTGGGGGAGGAGAGGCAGAGTGAGGGGTGTGATGTGGGGATGTTTGAGGGGTGTGGAGTGTTGTGGGGTGTCGGGGAGGTAGGGGTGCCCTGTGAGAGGATGCATGTATGTAGAAAAGTTATGGGGTGGGTGCCAGGAGAGTCCTAAGACTCTGAGACCAAAGAAAGCAGGCTCTGCATCAGGGGACCTGGGGCTGCCCCAGTGAGGGCAGCAGGCAGGGCAGAGTCTCCTCAGGGGGCACTTGATTCTTCCAGATGCTGGAGAGGAGGCAGGGGCTGATGGAGGCCTCAGGCTCCCTCCCCTGACCTGGCCATTAACCCTGGAGCGCGGTCAGGCAAACCCCTGCCCTCCCACACCCCTAGAAGCAGATGGGCAGTTCTGAGAGAAAGAACTGCCAGGGGCTGCCAGTGTTGCGCAGCCAGGGATTCGGGGCTAACCTGGACCTTCCTTCCAGATTAGCACATCGCAGATCAAAGTGGACAAGGTGCAGATCATCGGTTCCAACAGCTGCCCGTTCGCTGTGTGCCTGGACCAGGATGAGAGGAAGATCCTGCAGAGTGTAGTCAGGTAGGAAAGGGGCGTCCCAGGGAGGGGAGCAGTTTCTGCTCCCACCAACCCAGAGGCTTGGAAGGAGCTGGAGGGATGGGGGCTTGCTCTGATCCCTGGCCCCTGCCCTGCCCCACAGATGTGAGGTTTCACCCTGCTACAAGCCGGAGAAGAGCGACCTCTCCTCGCCACCCCAGAGGCCTCCCAACCTGCCGGCCCAGGCCGCGCCTGATCTCTGCTCCCTTCTCTGCCTGCCCATCATGACTTTCAGTGGAGCTCTGCCCTAGTGTGGGCCCAGCACCAGACTGGACAGAAGCCCTGGGGCAACCTCCTCTGTGAGCCCTCCGGGACAGTCCCTGTCTGTGGAGAACGGAGTGGTCCTGTGCAGAGACAGTCCCACTGTGGGTCCTGCAATGGGCAGGGTGTGGGGGTACAGGGTTTCTGGGGTCTCAGCGTTCTGGGAAAGGAACAGCTATCAGGGAGAGAAGGGCCAGACCCCATAGCCTCTCAGATTCCTCGCAGTAGAAGGAGAAGAATGGATAAATTGACCTCCGAAGTCCCTGACCACTACATGGTCTAGGATGCTTTCTAGAAGGAAGATCTGAGGCTCTGGTGCTCAGGGGGATGGCTTGGGCCTTTTCTCTCAACCTTGGCTGAGCCTACCCCTTACTTTGTCAAAGACTTGAGGACCCTGTATGTCTGGAGTTCAGTCCCCTCCTCTCTGGGGGCTCAGGTGACTGAAATGTGGATGAAATATTTCTCTACTTCAAGACCACCTCTCCCTCCAAACACACACACACACACACACACACACACACACACACACACACACCCCCCAACAATTTCTCTCTGTCAGGTTTCCTGATTCTCTGGAAGAACAGCACTAATGCTGCACCTGTCTACTCTTAGAACCCGGCACAGATTCTCTCTTGATCTCCTTTTTGGATCTGAGATTCTTGGAAGACAGTATAGGCTGAAATTCAGTAGCAGCTCCGTTCTAGCTAAATCACCAGAGGAAGTTAATTACCTTTGAGCCTCCATTTCCTCAGCACTAAAATGGAGTGGAGAGTTGGGGTGGAAATAAGACATCCTGAAAAGGTGAAATTGTCTGCAAAGCACCTAGCCCAGCGCTGAGCTCCCAGTAGGTGCTCAGTAAAGCTTAGCACCTGACTTTCTGAACACCGATTCCTCCTGTTTGGAGCCACTGGGATACTCTCACCTCCGTTGGGATGCTCCTCACTCCTTCCCAGTTCATGGCTGAGGCAGAACCCAGACTGAAGGGGGAAGAGACGTTCCAGACATTCCAGAGACCTTCATCAGGGTAAGGGGTGGGCTGCTCAGGGGCCCCACCCTTCAGCCCCTTCTGTATCACATTGGCCCTCCCACTCCCATCTCAATCTTTGTGTGCAAAATCTTCCATGCCCGCAAATTCACTGGCACTCTTCTGGCACCTGGGCAAGATCCCAGAACAGAGGATGGAGTGACCGGTCTCACAGAGCTTAGTGCCCAACTCAGGGGAAATGGCACTGGTGCCTGGGACATGGTCAGCCTAGGACAGGACATGAGAGTCTAAGATTCAAAGAGAGCAGCTTGAAGTGGTTTAAGAAGCTAGAAACCAACGTGGACTAGAGAGATGGGGCAGAAGTCAAGACCAGGGTTTGGACTGACAGACGTGGAGAAAGCAGCCATGGAAGCGTGAACTGTATCCCACACAAAGTCCCTCTTCCCCTCCTCCTAACTCATTATGCCTAAAAGGTCTTACATGAAATTCCAGCCCAGAGTACTCATGACTTGAGAGATGTGGACAGAGCCAGCTTCTACCTTGCCTGGCCATTTCTCCCGTCTTTTTTTTTTTTTTTTTTTGACAGAGTCTCGCTCTGTCGCCCAGGCTGGAGTGCAGTGGTGCAATCTCGGCTCACTGCAAGCTCCGCCTCCTGGGTTCACGCCATTCTCCTGCCTCAGCCTCCCGAGTAGCTGGGACTACAGGTGCACGCCGCCACGCCCGGCTAATTTTTTGTATTTTTAGTAGAGACGGGGTTTTACCGCATTAGCCAGGATGGTCTCAATCTCCTGACCTCGTGATCCGCCTGCCTCGGCCTCCCAAAGTCCTGGGATTACAGGCGAGAGCCACCGCGCCCGGCCTCTCCCCTGTCTTAATATCTGCTCTTGCTCTAAGCTCCAGAAGAGTGGCAGGCCATGTATCTTCAATACTTTTTTGCTGTACGGGCAGGTTGTCCTGTTACATGATCAACAGATGTCCGGGAATTAATGGGTGGAATTTAATATTTTTGTCCAATAAAACTTGATTTGTCTTATATCTAATGACCAATAGTTATTTTGCTGCATGACACCTGCTAGTTGGACAGTTTATATAGATCATTTTATTTATACCAGAAACAAGCTTTATAGGGGATTGTTTTATTTCTCCTTTTGTAATTTTCCACCCTATAGAAAATATATTTGGGTGAAAATTTTCCCCAATACTGTTCTGCTTAAGCCTCATCATACTCACCGACCCACAGAACAAAATATCCTACACCTAAGGACTCAACATTTGGGGTTTCTTGTGCCACTTCACTTGAGAAATATACACCCATATATCCATCTGTTCCCTGTACCCCAAGCCCCAGGGAGGGGATGGGCCTCAGGCTGTTGCTGTTGGTGGTGGTGGCAGAGTGGATCCCGGACCTACCATGCAGCTGAGAGCGAGGGAAGAGAGCTCAATAATGGCCCTCTGAATCTGGGACTGCCTTTAGACTTGGGTGATATGGAGGGAGAGAAGAAGTGGAGGGATGGTAGAGGACCCCTGTGGCTTGGGAAAGGTAGGTAAGTACCAGGTTCCCAGAACGCTATTCAGGATGGAGAGAGAAAGAACTGTCAGCTGGTTCAGCTCTGCATCAGCTGGCTATTGCAAACAATGAAGCACGCCTTCAATTCAGGGGACTAAGTCTCCGATCGTTTGTTCTCGCTCATGCATCTAGAGGTCATCTAGGGACCAGCTGATCTAGGTGGTTCAGGTGGTTTGACTTAGGCCCCGAGTGGTTTGGCTCCAAGCTGCAGGGTGGGTGCAGACGTGCTTAGTTGGCCTCTCAGACATATTGGACCAGCCTGAGAGGCCAGCAGAGGCACGCGATGCCTCCTAGGAATGGAGCCTGGAACGGGAACAATATTCCTTCTGCCAATAATTGGCTAACACTGAGGAAGCACATCAACCCGCAGACTTAATAAACCCAGCAAATTTTACACAGGAAATTTGACACAGGAATCTCCACACAAGAAAAAAAAAAAAAACCAAAATCACATGAGAAGTGCACTTTACCTTTGATGTTCTTTCCATAACTCCAGTCTAATCAAGAGAAAAAAACATCATATAAACCCAGACTATGGGACCAGATAACCTGACCAGTACTCTCTTAGTGTCACGAAAAATAAGGAAAGACTGAGAAACAGACAAAAAGAGAAGGAGTAAACCTGAAAACTAAGCAGTGGACACTGGCTTGAATCCTAAACATTAATCCAAAAACTGGTAAAATCTCAATACAATCTGGAGTTTAGTTTTTTTTTTCTTAAACCACACACACACACACACACACACACACACACACACACCGCTTACTGTCAAACTTCGAAAGAAAAAAATGTAATGAGAAAATATTAAAGACAGAGGAAAATAATACACTTTATCTTCAAAGTAGCAACAATTAAACTGAGAACTCCCTCTTTCAACAGAAACAATGGAAGCCAGAGATGATGAAATGATGTCTTTAAAGTATGAGGGGAAAAAACAAACCTACTAACCTGGAATCATACACCCAGAACTGTCTGATAATTACTTTTTAAAAAAATCTTATAAACTGCAGCGGCCAGGTGTGGTGGCTCATACCTCTAATCCCAGCACTTTGGTAGGCCAGGCGGTGGATCACAAGGTCAGGAGATCGAGACCATCCTGGCTAACACAGTGAAACCCCGTCTCTACTAAAAATACAAAAAAAAATAGCGGGGCGTGGTGGCGGGCACCTGTCGTCCCAGCAACTCGGGAGGATGAGGCAGGAGAATGGCGTGAACCCGGTAGGCAGAGCTTGCAGTGAGCCGAGATCGCGCCACTGCACTCCAGCCTGGGTGACAGAGCGAGACTCCATCTCAAAAACAAAACAAAACAAAACAAAACAAAAAAACTTATAAACTGCTCACAAGGGACACAGTTTAAAGATAACATCACAGAAAGGTTGAAAGCAAAAGGACGAAAAGAATCACACCATGCAAAACCAGACCAAAAAACCTGGTGTTAATACACTAATATCCAAAAATTTAACAGCAGAAGCATTATGGAAAATAAAGAGGAAGATTTCATAAAGATTAAGGAGTCCAACAAAAGGTATTACAGTTATAAAGCTATATACACCAAATAACAATGGAAAATTATATATAAATATAAATATATGTAACTATATATAAGTATAAACTATATATAAATATAAATATAAAACAAAAATTGACAGAATTAGATGTCTCCATAACCACAGCGGTCAACATGCCTCTCTCAATAGCTGATAGAACACATAGACAAAAAAAATTAATAGAGATATACAAGATCTGGACAACACAATTAGCAAATTTGTTGTTATTGAAATTGATAGAACATTGTGGTGCGATCTCGGCTCACTGCAACCTCCATCTCCTGGGTTCAAACGATTCTCCTGCCTCAACCTCCCAAGTAGCTGGGACTACAGGCACCCGCCACCACACTTGGTTCATTTAAAAAATTTTTTTTAGTAGAAACGGGGTTTCACCATGTTGGCCAGGCTGGTCTCGAACTCCTGACCTCAGGTGATCCATCCACCTCGGCCTCCCAAAGTGCTGGGATTACAGGCGTGAGCCACCGCGCCCAGACAGAAGATTCTTTAAACCATACTTCACAAAAATCACTGGCCGACCTAAGAATGGATCCCCCATTGGTCAGACACATACCCTGGATACAATCACCATGATCTGTAGGCGAATCCATGGGCCAAGTGATTATAGACTAAAGGGGCTGTGAGCCAGAATGTCTCATCCAGTCCATAAGCTTTTGTAATCCGAGTCATTGAACACTGAGGAAAGGGGCCAGGGTAGGGGACTGAAACTAGAATGCTTACTGGGTCCTGCTGTTGGCAGATGAAGAGAAAGGAGGAGGCTGTCCTTTTCAGCACCCCACCCTCCTCCTCAAGGTGGCCCCTCTTCCGTGTGGTACCTCAGCATGAGCTCAGGAGCTGGCCATAAACTTGAAGACTCTCACCGCCCACTACTCAGAGTGGAATTACTCCTGCCCTAGGGGTGTTGACCTCCTAGTCTTGCCATCCCTGGAATGGGTATATTTCTCCAGCTTTGGAAGGAGATGGGTGTCTCCCTTTGCCACTTCCTGCTTCCTAAAAGGCTGGGCAGGCCTCCGTTAGGGGACCAAAATCAAGCTGTGCACTGCGGGTCTCAGGGTGTGGGGCCGTAGAAGGGAGAGCTCTCTCGGCCCCCAGTTCCGTCATTCCTTCCTGCACCTGCTGGAACCCCTGTGGCCCCACATTTCCTCCGCTCCCTTTGCCAGATGCGGCACTCTCTCAGGCCAAACCTTGGATCACAGGGAGGGCAGGGAGGAGCGGGAGCACTCAACCTTGGAGTGATCCTGGCCGCCTCACAGTGTCTCCAAGCCTCGGTTCCCTGCCTGTGAAAATGACACGGTGTCTACTTTCCAGGGAGTGTGTAGGGCTTATCAGGGGATGCAATGTGAAAGGGGATGACGCTGCTGAGACTGTAGTCCAGGTAGCCTGCCCAGCCCCAGGGCTCCCTGTGAGTAGAAGCCTTACCGAGAAGGGGGCTCCTCCAGACACAATGGCTTACACCTCTTTGTTCTCCTCAGGCAGCTGGGAGCTTCCTCTAGGGGCCGGAAGGTAGTGGTCTATCACCATCTTCAGACCTCTCCCTGAAGTCCCTGGCATCCCAGTCATGTCTCCACCAGGAGAAAGGGCTCTAAGCAGAGGCAGCACAGTTTTCAGCCCCGGCAGGTCCAGGCACACCCGAGATGCTGTGTGGACCCAGCCTGCCTGGTGCCTGCCCTGGGCCTTCAGACTGCCCCTCCCTCATTGCCACACTGCCACCCACTCCAGCACCGGGAATGTTCACAGCTTCCCTGGGAAAAGGGCTCCCCCGTTTTCTTGAGGAAGAATCCACTTCCTTCTTTCCCCAAGTCTCTGAATCCTTCTCTTTCTTCCCCCAACCCTACCAGTAAAATCAGGGTAAAGGAAACGCGTGCTGGGAGAGGGTGCCATCCCCCATCCCTCTGGAGGCAAAGTGAGGCAGGTGGCAGACTCCGTCCCCAGGCGTGCCAGCTTATTTCTCTCTGTTCTGTGTGTAGGCATGCCTGTGTCCTGGCTGGGACCACAGCCCCGGAGACTCTGAGTGTGGGCTCCCTGGAGACATGGCTGTGGTCACAGCAGACGCATGTGTCTGCCCCTCTTTGCACAGGGGGAGTGGGAAGGAATGGCGCTTGTTCGAAGGATCTCAGCTATTTCGAGCTCAAAGGTGCAGCGTCTCAGTCATTGCCACCTGCACAGGGTATCACCTGTGAATGTCCGCGTCGAGTGAACTGAGCTATCAGCAGTCACTTTCAGCACTTACTGAGCACGTGTCAGGCGCTGCTCTGTGTGCTTTACGTGCTTATGTTAACTTGTTGGTGCCGCAACCCCATGAGCTAGGCACAATTATGCCCCCTTTTACAGGCAGGGAAACTGAGGCAGAGACAGGTAACTTGTCCAAGGTCACCGAGACAGTAAAAAGGGGAATCCAGGATTTAAGCACAGACAGGTGGGCTCCGGAGTCCCTGCGCTTAACCAC